GAAAATGCCATGTGTTGATGGCCCTTGGGCGCAGAGGCTTCCCTGACTGCTGGGACCCGGGTCTGCAGCGGCTCCCAGGGAGGGGCACAGCGCGCGGCCGGGAAGCGGGAGCCCTCCTTGTCCTCTGACCTGCAGGGTCAGGGCTGGACAGAGCAAATGAGATTAAGCTCGGGAGAGTGGCTGGCAGTGCGCCACCGTGGGGCAGTTAGGAGGGCAGGGAAAGTGGGAGCGGGGCTCTGGAACTTAATTTCCCTTTGGATGTGTGCGATTTGTCAGTTTATGTGTGAGAATAGATTTAAAAATTCATACTGTGGGACCAGCAGGTGGTGTGGTGGTTAAGGCACTGGACACTCCCACATGGCTGACCCCGGTTCAAGTCTCGGACCTGGTGGCTTTGTTTTTCTCTCTCTCCCTAAAAAAAAATCTCACTCTCTCTCTCTCTCTCTCTCTCTCTCTGGCAGCAATGAACATTTAAATTTTGGCTAAACGTGTTAAAAACAATATTAATCGTAACATTCCTATGATCTTTCTATTATACCAATTGAAGAAGGAAAATTAGTTCATTTCATGAGATTCAGTATTTGAAAATGCAGAATTACTAACGTTTACAAAACTCTTTGCTAAATGCTTATACACATTATGCAATAAATTTGGCTGGAATTGACGTTGCAGTGTGTTGCAAACCCGCAAAAGATATGTTGCAGCCCTAATCCCTGGTATCTATGCTTCAAATCTTCTTTGGAAATAGGGTCTTTGTAGATTAAATCAAGTTGAAGTAACACCATATTGGGTTAGGGTGAGCCCTAATGCAATGACTGTGTTCATATAAGAAGAAAGAGATTTGGACACAGACACAGACACACAGGGAAAACTCCATGTAACAAGGAAGAGTTTGGAGGAATATGTCTACAAGAAAAGGAGCAATCAAAGTTGCTAATAACCACCAGAAGCCAGATGAGAGACTTGCAACAGTGTTTTCCTCCTGAGGAAGGAACTAACCCTGTGTCAATGGAAATAACCAACTCTGTAGAAATAATGATTAATGTGGTATATTACTAAGCATGAAATTGAGTGGCCAACCTGGAGAAAGACAAGTATGTTTCTCAGGGTGCTCAGATACAGTGATTCCTTTTATTTGGTTTTGAGAGCAAGAGACAAAGTTTGGGATTTAGCGTAAAGTGTTTTCATTGGTCTGGCCTAAAAAGGACATTTGGAAGCTAAGTCTGCAAGTTATAGGTGAGTTTAGAAATGTTTAGGTTGTTGACTGGAAACTCAGGTCTGTGTCTCAGGAAGAGTTCATCAAAAGAATGTCTTCCATTTACTTTCACAGAAATAAGAAGCTATCACAAAGATACTATACCAGGGACAGGATGTATTGTAGGAAGAGTCCTATTATCAGTGGGCCAAATTAGTCTGTTAATGTTTGTAGGTGTGGCTTCTCCAGGCCCTCTGGAAAGGATTTGGGGATTAGGAAAAGCAGTTAGACTTTTGTCCTCAGTTCCTTCTGTTGGCCAAATAGCATTCTTCGGAATGAATGTGCAGAAAATTGTTGAGTCCTGTGGTATGAGGAAGGCTTATTCCTAAAAGCAGTCCATTAGCTACCCATTACTAAAGGCAGTGGCTTATCTTGGTCATCTGTGGTGTTGAGTGCTGGGGAAGGTCATGTCTGACTGACATAACAGCCAATTATCTTTGGCCAAAGGGGAAGAGTCAGTTCTCAAAGCTCAGTTTTTGTGTGTGGGGGAATTGTTGAGTCCTGTGGTATGAGGAAGGCTTATTCCTAAAAGCAGTCCATTAGCTACCCATTACTAAAGGCAGTGGCTTATCTTGGTCATCTGTGGTGTTGAGTGCTGGGGAAGGTCATGTCTGACTGACATAACAGCCAATTATCTTTGGCCAAAGGGGAAGAGTCAGTTCTCAAAGCTCAGTTTTTGTGTGTGGGGGAGGGTGGTGGGGGGGGGCGGCTGGTTTTTGGGCATGCCACACATGAACGAGACATGAGTTTAAGCTACCGGCTCCAGGACTCAAACTGCAGTCAACTACATGGGAGTCCAGCAACATAGCCATTATGCTATCTGCTGGTCCCAGCATTCTTTGTTTTTTAAAAAATTTTTATCTTAGTCATTCTGACTGATGTTAAGTGGTATCTCTTTGTGGTTTTAATTTGCATTTCCCTGGTGGTGAGAGATGGTAAGTATTTTTTTAGATGCTTTTTTGGCCAATTACATGTCTTTTTGGAGAGGTGTCTTAAGCTCATTTGCTCATGTCCTGATTTTTTTCTTTTTTAGATGGGTAAGCTGTTCGAGTTACCTGTGCATTCTGGTTAATCAATCTCTTAGCTGAGGCAGAGTTTGCAAATATATTCTACCATTCTGAGGGTTGTCTCCTCAACCTAATTACTGTTTCTTTTGTTGTACAGAAGCTTTTTAGCCTGATGTAGTCCCACTTGTCTATTTGGGGGATTATTGCCTGCATCTTAGTTAAGATCTCTTTGACTATTCTGATGTCTTGAAGAGTATCCCCTGTGTTTTCCACCAGTAGTTTTATAGTTTGAGGTTTTATGTCTAGATCTTGATCCATTTTGAATTGATTTTTGTTCATAGTAAGAGATAGGAGTTCAGGTTCATTTTTCTGCAGGTGGATATCCAGTTTAACCAGCACTATTTGCTGAAGAGATTTTCTTTTCCCCACTGAGTTGCCTTGTGCTTCTTGTTGAAAATCAGTTGGTTGGGGAACCAGCAGTTAGCGTAATGGCTATGTCGCTGGACTCCCATGTAGTCGACCGTGGTTCGCGTCCTGGACCCGGTGGCTTAAAACTCACGCTGGGCGCGTGTGCGTGCGTGCCCAAGATCCTGAGAGAAGAATGGAGGAGAAGGGTTTGTGGTGTGACCATTCCCCCTGGGGGGTGATTTCTCGTTTTCCGTCTCTATGTCTCTCTCTATCTGTCTGGCGAGCACACGCACCCTATAGCAAAAATCTCTCAAAAAAAAAAATTGGTTGTATGTTGTGGGGCTTATTTCTGGGTTCTCAATTCTATTTCAATGGTATACCTGTTTCAGTGGTATTCTGTTTCTATGTTGTTTTGATTATCACAGCTTTCTAATATATTTTTAGATTATGAAGTGAGTTGTCTCCTACTTTATTCTTTCTGCATGGTATTGCCTTTATAATCTGGGGCCTTTTATAATTTGAAAAATTTTTTATGATTTTCTTTCTACTTTTGTGAGGAATATCTCTTCTAATTTTATCAGAACTGCATTGACTTTAAAGATTAATTTGAGTAGCATTGACGTTTTGATTATATTTATTTTTCTAATCCAGAAACATGGAATTTCTTTCTATTTTTTTGGTATCATTTTCAATTTATTTTTAAAAAATTCTTGTAGTTTTCCTTGTAGAGGTCTTTCACTTCTTTGGTTGAGTTTATTCCTAGGGATCTTATATTTTTGTGACTATTGTAAATGGGATTGCTTTCTTTCATTTTACCTCAGTTTGTTCATTGTTGGTGTATAAAAATGCTATGGATTTTTGTACATCGATTTTGTATCCTGCCACTTCACCATATTCACTTATCACTTAATGGAGTTTTTGTGTGAATTCTTTTAGATTTGCTAGGTATATATCATATTATCTTCAAATACAGGTAATTTCACTCTTTTCCTATTTAAATACCTTTTGTTAGGCTGGAGGCCTAGGCAGCTTAGACTTAGGAGTTGCATGCCACACCACAGTCTGCTGATGCAGCCAGATCTACTCTGTCATCCGATCTGCACTGCACACGAACCTAACCCAGATGTAGCACACGGGGCTCTACACTGCACACGGCACCAGACTTTATGTGGCACAGTAGTCTGCTCTCCCTCTAAACCATTACCATACATGGGTTGTTTTTACCTCAAAGACACCCCCATACCCTTATAAAAATCACTAAACCCCACCCTAGGGCGCGACTTCTCTGGCCCCCTCTCTCTTTCTCTGTCGGACCAGCAAATTTCACTTGAGAACATTTCCAATGAAAGCTCTACATTTCTATTTTCTTGCGTAGTTGGCCCATTTCTTACATTTGGTGCCAAAACCCAGGAGGAGTTTTGTGTTCTGCAGTCCCTGCAAGGGCCTCTCCTCCCCTGAACCAGGAACTGACTGGCCAAATGCCGACTAACCACCTGCCCTGGCCTTCTGAGGGTAAGTCCACCTGCCCATGGTTTCCGGGACTCAAACCTCCGGGTTCCCTGTCTGAAAATGTGGCCACGTCAGGGTCCCCTCCGAGTCCTGGAGCTCCAGTGATTGTGGAGACATCTCAGTCCTCTGCTGCCCATCCCTCATTCTGCTCCGTGAGCACAAAAAGAGATTTGGGATGCCTCTCCCTTTTCTGCTCACTTGAGTCCCGGACACAACAGATAATGCCAAGTCCATCACTGAGTCAAAGACGCCCCTGGTCTGTCTGCTCCATAACTTCACCAAATTAAGACTCGCTCAGAATCTCCACTGCAAGCAGCTAATATGCTATTCCACTGTGGCCTGGCCACAATATGCTTTGGACAACAGGTCTAACTGGCCTCCTGAGGGGACTTTTAATTACGGTACCCTCACTGATTTGGGTAACTATTGCCGAAAGGTGGGCAAATGGTTGGAGGTTCCATATGTCGAAGCCTTTTGGGATCTCCACTTCTGCCCCTCCCTCTGCACCTCCTACACTACTGC